TAGTGGCTTGCAGCTGCGCGATAATCTGCGCCTGCTGCGCGTCAGTGGCGTGCAGCTGCGCGATAATCTGCACCTGCTGCGCGTCAGTGGCTTGCAGCTGCGCGTTAGTGGCTTGCAGCTGCGCGTTAGTGGCTTGCAGCTGCGCGATGGTCTCCGCCTGCTGCGCGATGGTCTCCGCCTGCTGCGCGATAGTCTCCGCCTGGCTGTTCACTTGCCCCTGCGCCTCTTGTAGGGCATGCAGCAGCTGCTGACCAGCGGCCGAATTCAATGAAGCATTGCTAGATGCATCTGAGCCTGACGCGGCAGATATCGAGGCGCTGCAAGTTGCGCAGCAGGCACCACGATGGCGAGGCCTCCTGCGGTATGTTAGGGACAAGGACGGGCTTGCATAGGAGTGCGCACATGTCGCCAAAGGTGCCTGCCTGAAGTCGCTGTGCTGACTGATGCACACTGCACCGGCCAACACCTGTTTTTGCTCAACCGCAGGCTCTTCTCATGCTGCTGATCAGGTGGGGCTAGCCATTAAGGTTGGCAAGGAGCTCAAGAAGCACACGGCCGTAGAGCTTCCAGTGCAGAGCCTACTTGGCAGATTCAGCAAGCAGCAGGTCAAGGAGTGGGCTTTCTCCCATGGCTGCACAAATGTTCTATGGAATGACTCCATGGTCCAGTACAAGGGCAAGCTGGCGTTGGTTGCTTAGAGAGGTTCCTTGATGAGCAGGGATACGGAGCAAGTGGGCAGCTGCAGTCTAGAGCTATGTGGTTCAGTGGTGTGTAGTAGGTGTTCACTAGGAAAAATGGAAGCAGTGCAGTAGTAGTGTGAAACAGGTCACAGGTGAAGGTTGATGAAGAACATGTGTGTATAATTGCATGCCAAGAAAAGGTACTGCTGTTGCTGTGATGATTTTGGTAGCAGCCTCCAGACTTGTAAAGAATAGAGACAATAGATGCCTGTACAGGCCAGCTGGCTGTGCACTATACTGCACAATTCCACATGATGAGCAAGTGAGGTGACCAGGGCGACCCAGACTGTTGTGTGTAATACATACATATGTATATAATTCCTGACGAATGTGGTTTTGTGCCTACCCATGCAGTACAAGCTTCTATCCCCAATGATGGCAAATAGATGCTGATGGCATGAATAATGAAGTCAGACAGCTTTCCAAAAAAAAGAGAATGAGTGATTTAATAGTGGACAGGGAATCATGTAAAAGCTCATAAAATTTACAGCGTCTGAACCTCAATACAGCAATTAAAATCCTTCAACAAAAGTTCAGCAAATTATCTAATGGCAACAGCCAGTAACATGATGGAACTTCCTTTTAGCATGTCCCTGCTCGTAACAGCTTTCAAGGCCTGTTAGCAACTACAGCCCTTGGCACCGCTTAACAGCTTAAGTGAATTGAACAAATGCTAACAATTAGTTTCCCAGAACCCTAACAGCCGTAAAAAATTCTTTCTCAGCATCTGGGTGACCCAACCAGAATGTAACATCCTGTCAACAATATCCTGTTGTGGCAGAAAGCGCTCTGTTACAGGTCCTTAATAATAAAAATAATAATAGTACGCCGGCCGAGGCCTGGCGTGTGTTAAGGGGGTGGGGAACTGAGGGGCGGCGTAGCCGCTCCTGTATGCCCGCACCACCGTGGGAAACCGTTCGGGTTGTACCGGTTACTTGACTGTATCCTCCAGTACTCGCCGCACCCGGATAATCGTGCCCGCTGCTTCGATTGTTTGCCGGTGGAGGTGCAGGCAGGTCTTCTGGGCCTGCTCAGCGGACGAGCCGAGTCTGCACAGTAGCGGTTTTAGTGTATTGGTTATCGTCGAGTGGCCCTGTTGATACGAGGTCTCGCCTGCTCTGTTGCCCCAGACCTCTTTCTCCGAACCTGTGCTTGGGTACACATTGTCTGTACACCCTGCCTTCCAGTTGTCTCTCAAGGTCCTACGGCCATCAGTTTCACGAGTGCTATGGTGTGGCAGTGTTTGGTTGTGGGTTACAACAGGTTCAGAGTTGCAGCCATACTGCGTCCCTGCAGGTTGCAGGGGACCCTCACAGGATACCGGCTTGTGCTCCCCCCCTATCCAGCCCTTGATCGAGTCACACACATCAGATTGCCAAGCTATACTACAGCGCATCTCCTTGATCGAGGATATCCCCTGAGTGTCTGTCCGGCTGTCAGGGGCGTCATTCACCCCGGCATGTCTTGTCTTTCGACACACCATCCGGCCACATTCCCAATCATCGTACAGGTGCACTACTGAAGTCACGTCCTCACCCTTAGGATCATGGGGGACACACCTAGTTCCCACATTGCACGCATCTCTTGCTGTTTTATCTGTGGGGCCGCAGCCCAGGCCGTCCTTGGGATGGCTGCCCATTATCGGCCGGCCTTGAAAGTGGCCAGGAACTACCGCCATGTCCTTGTTAGCTGTATATCGGTGTTGACTTGTACAAGTATATTGGCCCGCCTTGCACTTCGGATGGCGCCTCCTTTGCGTCGCTCGTGCGTTGTCGGTACGAGTTCTGTTGGTATGGTTTTTGCGGTGAGTCTCGTTTTGGTGCGTTATAATCTGAGCATTTGATATACTACAGAATTTTGTACCGTGTTCGGTTGCTAGTCGACAGGATGGTGGGGGCGACTTTGTGTTCTTCGCAGTCAGGGGTCTTAGGTCCTGTGGCCCTATCTCCCGAGAATGTATCAGGTCTGCTGATATGGAGCTGGAAATTGATTCCGTTTACGGTCTGTCGCGTTGGGGGGCTGCCATGGTGGGTCACCGGTGTGACAGTCTAAGGGCACTGCCGTCTTTTCTATAAAGTATTTTAGTACCCAGGCATCCTTGATACGTGTGTTATAATGGGCTGGGGGAGCGTTCCAGGGGCGGTTGGCCTTGCAAAGATCGGAATGCGGAGCCCTGGGTGTAGGCGAGGGCTCAGGGCCCCTTGCTGTAAGTATGCCCGAGTCGCCTGGGGGCAAGTAGTGCTTTCCAGTCGTTGTATAGCTGCCAGCTCGTGGATTGCCGACCATTTTGGACAGAAAGATTCCGCTGATGTGCGAACTCGAGCTACCGAGCCATTGCCATTGTTTCAGAGGATTCATATTAGAGCATATCCTACGCGCTTGATTGTTCTGGCATATCAGTATGCCGGTGTCTTGTTCGCCCAGCATATTGGTTCGGGTGGATCTGTCACGGAGTTCTTGTGGTGCGGTTGTTTTCACAAGGCTAACCGATCTTGGTTGCGCTATGTTACCCATAGACTTCGGCCTGGGGTCAAGCAATGGTGCGTAGAGCAGGCCGGTCCGAACCGAGCCCTTAAGCTCATCCATTGCCCCCTCCTCAGTCATGGAGCGGCCATCGGCGCCCAAAAGAAACACGGTTAGAACAAGCAATACGAACGATTGCATTGTTGCCTGCAAACCGTGCTTACCGCGAAGTGCACAACTTACTTTCACTCCCCCAGAGCGGCTTGACTAGGCGCGTAGTTGTAATTGTCTTTACTGGTCTATATTGGAAAGAACGTGGCTCATCCCTTTGTATGGATTGTGTGATGGCTAATCACCTACACAAACTAGGAAGGAAAAAAGATAGCTGCTCATGTCAAAGGTCTGTGGTCAGAAGGCACAAACCAACTCCTAAAAGTTGTCCGCCCGTTACAGGTCCTTACAGCTGCTAACAGTCCCTAGAATCAGACAACTGTTAACAGTGTGGGCTCCAGGTATATGTCAGTCACAGGGCCAAACAGGACAAGACAGCCTCTAACCCAGTGTCTAACTGGCTGTTATGCCACGTTAACAACTATCGTCAGCAGCTGATAATGAGCCCGTCTGACAGCCCCGCCTAAGAAGTTAGACGCTGTTAGACCCCCTATGAGTTGGTAGGGATGCTGGCTCGCACAGCTGATGGCGCTAATTAAGCCACAGTCATTATGGCAGTCGCACGTGGCGGGCGCGCTGTGGTGCATGGTTTTGATAGATGTGTAAGGTGCATGGTTTGATAGATGTGTAAGGCGCATGGTTTTGATAGATGCGTAAGGCGCATGGTTTTGATCTTCACACCTCCTGTTTGCCTCTGGAGGAGGGGCCAAGGATGCCATGATCGCACACGTGGGTTACAGTTGGGCCGTTCTTCATTGCTAAAACTGGACAAAGCCAGGCATGCAGCACTGAGTGCTGACGGAGGAACTAGTGGAAGCAGTTGTGGCCAAGACGTGGGTGGGTAGGCGGCCTCAGCATCATTACTGAGATGGGCTGGGGCCCTACTTGTTTTGTGGGTGCTTGAGACTTTTGCATACGTATTACAGTTACAGTTACAGTGTCCCATGAATCATGGGGTGTATTCCCTGCCGCAAGGAGCTTGTAATGCGCACGACCCTCAGGGTGCAAAAGGCATACACATGTACAGATTTTTTTCCTGAAGGTGCCCAAGGATCGGGGAAAGCTCCCTGCCCAACATTGGTATGAGGACCGGACGCTGGGTTAGTGAAGCACGGCAACCACTTGCTGGTCTCGATATGTGTTGAAGTGTGTGAAAGGCTGTCAAGGGAGAGTGCTGCTCACGAAGTAGGGTGCGGAAGCGTATGGGCTGAAGGTTGAATCGAGATGCGGAAGCGTATGAGCTGCAGGTAGGATCAAGATCACCGTGGTCCTGCCTGTACGACTTCATGCAACGCACGTGTACGTCATCAAGCACTCCAACCCACTACATGTACTGGTATCAGCACCCGTTCTCGGACACCGTCCGCCGTGCTGGCGACGGGCAGAGTGCTGTTGCCGCTTCCGTCGCCAGTGCTGTCGGCGTACAGTGAAGCCTCCCCACCCCGCCCCTGCCGGCACACAAGCCCCGGCGACACGACCCAGAGAACCACGCCGCTCCTGATGTTACTTCTGCTGCCGCCACTGCTGCCGCCGCCACTAGTGCCCATCGTGCCGCCGTCGCTACCGCGGCTGCAGAGTCTGTCATCGTCCTCCAACTCCAATGACAGCCACTCAACGGCGAGAACGAGCTGCGGCGCCGTCGGGGCCGCCGGCACCACGGGCGCCGCCACCTGCGGCGGCGCCAGCTGCCCCTCTTGTACGGCACCGTACGGTGCAATTATCGGGGTCCCCGGTGCCACGAGCCGCAGCGCCATCCCTCCGGGCGCGGCGGCTACAAGCATGCCTAGCCGTAACGACGACGCCACAAGGTCCTCTAGCTGTCGTACAACAGCGGTAATTGCCGCATGGACGCCGTCGGCGGCGTTGCGGCCAGCGGAGCCGCTTGTCATCGGCTCTGTGCCGGGGCCGGCGGCGGCAGGTGCATCACCGGCTGCATGGAATGGCGGCAGCGGCGGCGGCAGCAGTGTTGGCGGCGGCGGTACAAGGCCCAGCACGCTGCTGGCTAGGTCCGCCGCCAGGCAGACCGCGGCTGCGTGAAGTGCAGTGGCGTCGGCAGATGACGGTGTGGCCCATGGGTTGTCTGCCTCCGCCGCCGACCCTGCGGCACCCTGGAACTGGTTGCCGCTTCCGGCACCAAAGCCGCTTCCCCTGCCGCCGTCACCGCCACCGCCGTTCCCCAAGCCGCCAACCTCCTGCAACTCATGCAGCATGAGTGTCGTACATCGGAAGGATGAGAAGGTAGGAAACAACCAAGTAATTAAGCAAGTGCTCCGGTATCTCACTACCACAAGCACACACGACTATATGGCCTAACACATACCTTCCCATTAATGCGCACCATATTAGATCACATCACATCTGAAACGGTGATGAAATTGCAATGTTGGCCGTGACGGGGTCGGACAGATAGTGCCGGAGTGGGAGCCCCGTCACAACACTAACCTTTCGCAGCGGTCCCAACAACAGGTTTCAGCAAAATGTCTCCAGCAATACACATTCCGCATTTCAGACATTGTAGTGACCCAATGTACGGATACAAGTACGGCACTAACCTGGTGATGCGTCGGGGATACCGCTGTCAAAACCCTTGGAGAGTCGGGTTCCATACCCGGATCCAGACCTCTCCTGGGATCCGGATCCGGATTTAACCCCTGGTGAAAATGGATCCGATCTGGATCCGGATTTACATCCGGGCGTAGGTCTGTCGGCGTCCGGATGTGCTGTTGTGGTGGCGGCGCTGGTAGCTGGTTCACGGCTGGGACATGGCGCTGCTGGTTCCAGGTGCATGTCTGGGGGAGTGTTGTTAGGCGGGGAAGCGGGGTCTCACAAGAGGTCCATTGGACCCATTGCCAAGAATTACCCAGGGCGGGAGAGACAGGTAAGGCCGGGTGAGGATGATGACGATAGTAAGGATGCTGCTGCTGCTGCTCATGCTGATGATGATGATAATGATGATGGTGGTAATGGGTGTTGTGATAAATGATAATGGGTCATGGTGATGATGCAAAATGTGGGAAAGGATCCACTGCGCGAGAGCTCAAGGAATCAAACTGCCGCGACATCCAAATCACAAAAGCATGTGTAATAGGATTTCAAAACAACGGCACAACCTACAGGTGGGTGATTGCCCGGAGCACTAAGAATGTTCACCGAGCTGTGGCGGCGTTGGCCCGGTGCACGTGTTGGGAGGGAAAGGGAAGCACTACTAAGCAGGCGGTGTGGCGCTGACCATCCCGGTTGGTTGGTTAGTTGGTTGACCGTTGTGGAGGGAACCCCCAGTCCAACGGTTCAACGGCTTCCTTGGCACAGCGGCGTTGCCACGTACACATACACAGACACGTGTGTTCGCACATGCCGTCACACCCACGTACACGAGTACGATAGCGTACGCGTGCACACGTACATACATTTATACGTACACCCGAACACATACTCATACTTCAGGCCACACTCGTACCTGCAGCCACCGCAGCAATGCGTCTCCAAGCAGTCTGGCCTGACGCCGTGAACCGTGGGAAGGGGGAACGAGAGAGGGAGAATGTGTGCGCGCGTGTGTGTGTGTGTGTGTGTGTGTGCGCGCGCGTGTGTGTGTGTGTGTGTGTCTGTGCGTATATGTGAGGTTGGGGGATTGTACGACGAACGTGGATGAGCTATGCGGTAGTGAGCCAGCCAGTGCCCAGTGGCTGGGGTACGGCAATTACCTCATCATCCCTCTGTCCAAATGCTCTGAGAAGAGAGCATGATGATAATCTAGAACATAGATATTATTATACCTTGTGCGGGATGTACGGGGCGTACGGGATGTACGGATGTATGGGCTGTATATGCTATTCACTGCACGGAGGTCTGCCTTGAGACGTACATACATACGTACACACTGCATACATTTACATTGTGTAACAAATCTAGATATGTACACAAGCATAGGAGCATGGGAGATGGGAGCTCCGATGCATCTTTTCCTGGATATAGAGCGCCGAACTCAACCAATAATTACTAGGAAAGCTATCTACGTAGGTGTATGTATGTATGTATGTGCGCAATACCACGAAAATCATGAATGGGAGGAAATTACTTTGTTCCATTCGGCCCAAGATCGCGTCACGTCACATCATGACACGTACTCGCAACAACGGATTGCCGCCGCAGATCCTGCAGTACGCGGCGCGAGGGGACGATTGCCCACCGCCGCCGGAGCCGCCGCCGTCGCCACCGTCGTCATTCGCGGCCTCCACCCTCCTAGCGGCCTCACACCCAGCTCCCCCAGCCACCGTCGGCGGCCAACCCCTGGGAGCCGCCTCCCCAGTTGTACGGCAAGGTGGATGGGGGGTACGAGGAGGGGAGCGGGCGGGAGCTGCACCGATTGTTCCGAGCAGCGCCACGCCGTGTCTGTCCTCGAGCTGCTCCAGCGCCTGCGTCCCCAATCGTTCGTTGTCATGTATGTGTGTGCGGAGGCCCGACGTTGAGGATGGCTCCGGGTGACTGGAGGTGACGTTTTTCGGCCGTTCCTGTTTTCTTCACGGTTACTGTCCAGATGCTACAGCGTGCTGTATGTATGTACGTATGTATGTATATATGTGTGGGTTTTACCAGGGAAGGTGATAATGGCGCACACTAGGTAGCGGTTGTACGGCATCGCGGGCGGCACAAAATAACAGTTTACGCGCGCAGATGCCGCGTACACGTGATTTCTCCCCCAGCACCACCTTGTGCTCCGGTCTTCCTGGGCCTTATGTTCGCTCCCTACCTGCGCCACTCGGGCAACTTGATTGCCAAGCTCGGTGACGGAGGACCCCAGGTCCCACGGGTCGTCCGCACGCAGCGCCGCCGCCACGCCACCGCCTGCCGTACAGGCCGCCGTCGCCGCCAGCAACCCTGCGTCGGCAGCTTCGTCGCCTGGAGACGGGGGGTAGGGATTTGCAAGCCGACGCCGCGGCGGCCGCTGCGACCGCGGCGGGCGAGGAGGCCGCGACGGCGGCGCAGGGGCGGCGGCTGACGGCTGGCGGCAAAACGGCAGCGACGTATATGGCGGTGGTACGGCTCCGGCCTCCCCAGCAGTGGCTGTGACGAATCGGTCCGGCGGGGTCGCCGCGGACAGCTTGGGAGTCATGACCGCCGCAGCTGGCGGCACCGCCGCTGCCGCGGCTGCGCTTGCTTTTTCTCCTGCTGCCGCGACCTGTCGTACATTTACTGTGACGAGTGGTTCTGCAGCTCGTACTGCGGCCGCTGACCGCACGTTTTGAGGCCGCCTGGAGGCGTTCACGTCAGCGTTGACGTCGCTGCGGCCGGTTCGGTCCAGTCCCTTTTGGCGCTGACGGGGGCCCCCGGGCGCGGTGGTGACGCTGGGATGTGGACCGCCGCCGCCGCCGCCGCCGCTGCCGCCGCCGCCGTCACCAACCCTGCCGCCAGGTGCGGCTCCGGCTGCGGCTCCAACGCCTTCACCGCTCCCGCTAGGACCTGCGGCAGTAGCCCCTGCTGCTGCTGCTAGTGCTGGCGGCGGCGGTGGCGGTGGCCGCTTTGCCACTCGCGAGTGAATGGCGGTGGCGGCGGCGCTGATGACGCCGCCCGCAAGGCCGCCTGATGATGCCGTACGGCATCCCGAGGCTTGGGGGGAAGACGCGGGTTGCGACGCCGGAGCTGCTGAGCACTTCCCTTTCGGCGGCGCCCCTGCCGCCGCCGCAGCCGCCGCCGCCGCGCGACGGCTCGGCGACTTCCGGCGGTCGTACGTCTTGCAGCGGACGAAGCGATCGTAGCAACTGCGGTGGTAAGATCGACACACCTAGCAAGTGTTGTGTACTGATCTTTGCGTATGTAACCTTGATAATAATGCCGGAAATGATGATCTGGATTATCGAAATGCAATGGACTCGCTGGCAATGGATACAAGATAGCCATGCTAAAGCGCGGCACGGTGTCCCTCTGTGAGATTCTAGGATCGATTCCGACACAGAACGAATTAAAATCTTCGGACCGTAAGCGGGTGGATGAGGCTCCCACATGCCGGTGGTGGTGATGGACCCGGCCATATCGATGGACCTGCTGCTAACCGACCAGGAAAGGGGGGGAGTTGGCACCGCCGTTGCTCCGGGGGCAGATCCCGCCGGGTGATGCAGCCGGTGGTGGTGGTGGTGGTGATAGTGGTGGTAATGGTGGTGGCGGGTGCTGAGACCGAAAACGTTACACTTACCGACTCCGAACACAAGTCGGCTCCCACGTGGGTGATGATGAGAGGGATGAGGGCGGGCGGTGCTTCCCCGGTGGTGGTGGGGCGGGGGGGAACAACGCGGCTAGTGAGGCCGCACACGATGGAGAAGCTATCCCCCCCCCTTACTCTCCCCCCCACACAGACACACCGCATTCCGGAATAAGAGGAAGTAGAAAGGGATTTCCAACGGCGGTCAACCAACCAATCGATGCATCAATGGTGGTGTCCCTCACCTCCGGCACGTCCGCAGTGTGGGGTCCAACTTATGGACTCGCCAGCCGTGACTGGTGGAGGCCGACCCGCACTCGACACAGCGGACGGCACTGCCGCCGCCGCCGCCGCCGCCGTCACCGCGGCCGTCGCGGGCCGTACTGTTAGCCCATACCGGCGGCTTCCCCGCAGCGGCAGTGCAGGCCGCTGAGCCGCCGTGGCCAGAAGCAGTCGCAGCAGTGGCTGCTGCAGCAGTGGTAACAGCAGTGGCAGTAGCAGCAGCAGCAGCAGCAATAGCAGTAGCAGTAGTAGCAGGTTTCCCAGTGCAATTCCGAGCGGGTGCCGTGATACCCGCGCCAGCAGCAGCATCCACGATGCGTACGGCACTCCCATGAAACCTCTTCCCCCCGGCCGGCGGCACCGGGGCCGCCGCCGCCGCTGCGGCTGCTATCGATGCCCCCGACGCCCTGACGTCCGTACCTGGCCCCGCCGGCCGCCGTGCCCTGGCCTTCACTGTACCGCCCCGTACGACACGTGCTTGAGCTGTCCCGCCGCGTACCCTGGGCGCTTCCGTACGACCATCGTACGTGCGCTTGGCCAACCACCACATGTAGCAACCCTGTAGGCAAAATATATTTTAAGAGGCAGCTTGGGGGGCCAGATGGCGACAGGGCGAGCGGCAGCGCCAGCGGCACGGAATGTGAAATCCAGGTACTTGTACGGATCCAAATTGCCCACTCGTAAACCTATGCTGTATAGCGTAGCTAAACTGCGATTTTGCGAAAGGCAACAGCTGCGGGCAGCGACAGGTAACAGTTTGCACTTCGCTCATTCGCTCATTCCCGGCGTGCTTCCCTCTGACAAGAGAGATTAATCGCTGTTTTCCGTTATTCGCCCCCTCCGGTTGCCCGTTCCACTCGGCGCACACCCGCACCGTCGCCATGACTAAGCGCAGTAGCTACATACGTATACGAGTGGCATAGCAGTGTGTGCCGTCACAGCCGCGGGGGCAGTAGCCACCGCCGCCGCCGCCGCCGCCGCTACCTCGCAGTAGCAGCCGGCAGGGCAATATCCCTATTTTGGGGCGACAACGGATTCTTCTTGCCGCTGCTTGCCTTACACGTAAAGAGGTT